TCTGTGGATAAGTTTGCTGCTAACCTTATTTGTCTTGTTTTGTAAATCAGGGATTTCTTTTCCTTTGCTGCTCTCAGGATGTTTTCCTTATCTCTGTATTTTACAAATTTTACTAAGATACGTCTTGGTGTTGGCCTGCTTTTGTTAATTTTGATGGGGGTTCTCTGTGCCTCCTGGATTTGGATGTCTGTTTTTTCCCCTAGATTAGGGAAGTTTTCAGCTATAATTTCCTCAAATAAACCTTCTGCACCTTCTTCTGGGACTCCTATGGTACAAATATTATGCTTTATGTTGTCACTGAGTTCCCTAAGTCTATATTCGTGATCCAATATTTTTCTTTCCTTCTTCTTTTCATCTTCATTATTTTCCATAATTTTATCTTCTGTATCACTTACTCATTCTTCTGCTTCTTTCACCTTTGTGGTCATTACATCCAGCTGGTTTCACATCTCAGTTATAGCATTTTTTATTTTGGCCTGACTAGTTTTTAGGTCTTTTATCTCTGTAGTAAGGGACTCCCTGGTGTGTTCTATGCTTTTACCAAGCCCAGCTAGTATCCTTATGATTGTTGTTTTAAATTCTGGTTCAGGCATTTTATTTAGATCTGTTTCAATTAGATCCCTGGCTGTGACCTTTTCTTGTTCTTTCTTTTGGGATGAATTCCTCCATCTTGGCATTTTGTCTAGGTCTCTGTCTTCTGTGTGTTAGGAAAGCCTGCGATAGTCTCTGCTCCTGAGAGTAATGGCTATATTAAGAAGAGGTCAAATACTGTCCATGGCCTGGCATTTCGGGAAGTGTCTCTGGTGTATGCTGTGTGCACTCTGCTTTTGTGTTTTGGCTGCTCTTTCCCTCAGGTCAGTCCTGTGCAAAGTTTCTCCTTGCCTGCTGTGGGGAGAGTTTGGACCTTGTCCAGTGTGTAGCAAGTTTCAAATAGGTGTGTTTTGGTCTGCTTGTTAAAAGAGGCTAGATCCTGTTTCCACTAAAGCAGAAGGGGAACTGTCTCTCCCAGTGTGACCCAGGGGATCCTCAAACCACACTGCCTGGTCCCGGGCCTCTGCACTCTTCCTTCACAGGAGCACCAATATGCCTGCCAAGCTCAATGGACTTCTAAAACTTCAGTCTTTGAGCTGCGCTGCTTGTAAAAATTTATAATAATCAGCCCCTCTCACTTTCCCAGTGAATGGTGTTGGGGAAGCATTTTTCTTGTGCAATCCCCTGCACGCTTCCTGTTTGCTCTTGTGTGTGTGCGTTCTCTGTCTCTTCCCCCTCCCTGCATGATCAGGGCTCCCTCCCCTCTGCAGCACCCGCTATTCTTTTCTCCCCCAAATCATATCTCCGCACCTCCTACCTTCCAGTATGTGGCCTCTTTTCTCCCTCTAGTTTGTGCAGTTTGTTCTCTCAGTCCTCAGATTGATTTCTTGGGTGTTCAGAGTGATTTGATATTTATCTAGCTGTGTTCAAGGAAAAAGGCAAGCATAGGGTCCTGCTACTACTCTGCCATTTTAACTCTTCTTCTGCTAAATGCTATTTGTAAATTGCTTTTACTACCTGTATATGACTTTGGGCAGGTTACTTAACCCCTTTGTGCCTCAGTTAACCCAGCTATAAAATGTGGGTATGAAATGAAGGTAGCTTCTTCAAAGGTATGTTGTGAGGATTAAATGTAATAATACATGTAAGAGGCTCGGTATAGTATCTGATACATAGGAAGCCTTCAGTAAGTATTTGTTGCTATTAAAATTGTTATTGATTATGCGCATTTGTTTTGGAAGCACTTACAGCACAACACTGGTGAGATCACTCCCCTGGGTGAGTCCCTAACTGACCATTCCTTCTCAGGGAGGGCCCCTCTCTCTTCTTCTCCGCGTTCTTTAAAATGAGCTGTTTTATCTCAGAGCCTCTTCTCTCCTCAGTGCTTCTGACATTGTTGCATCTGCAACTGTGGCTTCAAGTGCCATTTAGATGGCTGACAGTTCTTTTTTTTTTTAAGATTATATTTATTTGAGAGAGAGAGCAAGCACGAGCAGGGGCAGAGAGAGAGGGAGAAACAGACTCCCCACTGAGCAGGAAGCCTGACGTGGGGCTCAATCCCAGGGCCCTGGGATCATGACCTGAGCCCAACTGACTGAGCCACCCAGGTGCCCCTACATGGTTGACAGTTCTTAAATCTGAACTCAGTATGTCCTAAATTGGACTCATTCCCTGTCCTTCCCTCCCCTCCACTTATTCCTTTCCCTATGATCCATGTTATCTTGGAGAATGGCACATTCACCTTGCTGATCAAACCAGAAACTTGGGCACCATACACGATTCCTTTTTCTTCCTCCCCTCTCATATCCCATCAATCATTAAGTCCTACCAATTCTATAACCAAAATACCTATTAAATCTACACTCTTCTCTCCATTTCCACTACCTCTTTTCCAGCATATAACTCCTTGCTGTTAATGCAAAACCTAACTGTTTCTTTTGCTCCCTCCTCAATCCGTTCACCACCCAGCTGCTAGAGTGATTGTTCTAATCTGATTTGTCACTATCTTACTTTTCAATGGCAATCCACTCTTCTTAGGGTAAGGTCTAAACTCTTTAATATGTATGTCCTGTAAAGGGATATATGATTTAGGCTATGTGTACCTCTCTGGCTTATGTCCTACCATTGTTAGCAGTCTCATCTCCCTTTCCAAAATGGTATCTATCCTCTTTGTTTATACATCTGCATGCTGGTCTATGCTTCATCTTTCCTGACTCAACTGATCTCCCACTCCTCTACTTCTACCCAAGCTTTCCTACCATGCTCTCTGAAATTCTCTTTCCACAGTACACATCTTTAACCTATTCATTGTATGTGTAGTCTTGCTTTATCCAAAACCTGGATCTCTCTACTATGAGTACTGGTACCTCTGCAGACTTCTGAAATGGAGGCTATTCATTTTTTTCTACTTCAGTGCTAATTCCAGACCCTTACTCTTCTAACCTCTTACAAAAATCTCTGTGTCTTTGTGGCTAATGCCATCCAGCCAGGCCACCTTTTTTCTTCTTAGTGGTCATCTACCAAAGTTCCCTTTCCTCATCTTTCAGTCACTAAAGACTTTTGTACCTGGTTCACTGTCTTTCTGACAATACTACCCTAACTCTCAGATCCTTGAGAACTTCCACTGTGTTAACTATGCAACCTACTTCTGCTTTAGTCATCTAATTCCAGGACCACACCTAGAGCCCTGAAATCAGCTGGAACCGCTTCATCTCTGAAACTGTAAATCTAAACGCTTTATGACCGCAAGTTCTTTTCTGCTCTTGGAATCCTACTACATCTGTTCTTTAACCCACTGGCAGCTCTCTCTTGACTGCCCCACTTTCTTCTTTTCATCTCCCTTTTACTTTTACTATTCTATTTTCTTCTCTATTATCTTGCTTAGATTCCATGGCTCATTACGTAAAACCTCTCTTGCCCTCAACAGCCTTAACTCCCTAGTCTGTGACTCTTCTTCCACCCATATGCTCAGCAAAATCCTAAATCCAGTACAACTGCCCAACATTTTTATTCCTACATGTAGCCTGCAGGATGATCATCACACAATTGCACTGATTGGTGACTTTTCTTTCATGATCTACACTATCTTCTGATCTCTTAAGAGTTTCCTAGAACTCTATGTTTCTCTGGTCTGGTCTCTTTCCTTATCACAGAAGCTACTACAAACCTTCTTTCTCCATACATTCTACTTTATAAAGAAAATCAAAGCTATCCAAAACAACCTGCTTCTACCTCTTGCTACTAGATTTGCAAATACCTGCATTATAAATACCCACCTGTTCTCAAATGTCTTTGCCCTTTGCAATGACGTGGATGGAACTTGAGGATATTATGCTCAGCGAAATAAGTCAATCAGAGAAAGACAAGTATCATATAATCTCACTGATATGAGGAATTTGAGAAACAAGACAGAGGATCATAGGGGAAGGGAGGGAAAAATGAAATAAGATGAAACCAGAGAGGGAGACAAACTATAAGAGACTCTTAATATCAGGAAACAAACTGAGGGTTGCTGGAGTGGAGGGAGGTGGGAGGGATGGGGTGGCTGGGTGATGGACATTGGGGATGGTATGTACTATGGTGAGCACTGTGAATTGTGTAAGACTGGTGAATCACAGACCTGTACCCTTGAAACAAATAGTACATTATATGTTAAAAAAAAAAAAAGATAAATAAAAAAATAAATAAATACCCACCTGTTCATCCTTTCCTACTGAAAAAGCTATGCATCCTGTGGAATGCTGATCCTTCCGGTTTTGCTGTGAAGACAATCCCTTCTCTCACATTTTCCAGGATTCTATCCCATTCATACTTCCTTTATCTTATATTTTATATACTATATATTTCGTATATTATATATAATAATCATATTGTATTATATATCTTTCCCTCTCATCAATAAGAAGTTGTGCTCAAGTCTCTTCATCTAACATTAACCAACATTCCCCTGGCCTTTTGTGTCTGCCCTCAGCTACTGACCTTTAAATACCTTTGTTCACACCCATGTCTCTCAAGTGGCGTGAACTCCATTTTCTCTTTCCCTAACACTTTCTCCTCTTGGCTTTTGTGATAACATTCTCCTGATTCTCCTCCACTTCTCTGATCACTCTGCCCTAGTCTCTTTTGTGAGCACTGCTTCCTCTTCTACTCCCTTAAATGTTGGTGTTCCTCTGGATCTCTCTGAGGTCTTCTCTTGCCACATTCCTCCTCCCCAGGCTTTAATTAAAATTGATGTTTTAATAATTAAATTGTAATCTCTCAGAGAATTTGAGAAAGTTATTTCTTACTTAATGAGTATTTTATTATGATTTAAAAACATCTATTAAAGAACATGGCATTAAAACATTTTCTACATTGGTTCTCTACTGTATATTCTCTACTATACGGTTGCAGACCTCAAAACAATTCCTTAACAATACCCTGGTTAAATAAAACAAGTAAACAGAAATTTAACAACAAATCAAAATTACCTTTATCGCCAAGGTCTCTAAAAAAGGTTGATCCACAACGAGCTGGTTGGATTCCTGCCAGTATATCCTCGATATCCTTTGAACACACATTAAAATCTTTAAATTTAACTTATAAAAGTTCATTTTCTATGTCACCAAAAAAACAAAAAGAAAGGAAGAAAGAACTCTCTCCCCCACATACTGCTTACCTTTTTTGTCAGCTTCTTCACTGAAGTTTTACCTACAGCAAAGAAGAAACTATTTATTACTCATACTCCTTGGTAAAATTCAACTTCCACAAAGAAAGAAAATCATTTAAAAGACAAAACAAACAACTAAATATTTATAAGAAAATAAGGCTTTGGCAATTTAGCTAATATCTTTAAACCAAAATTAAGAGCCAGAGAATTCTAAGTCTAAACACAAAGACACTATGGGTTTTTATAAGACCTACTTATCAATTTCACTCACCCTATTTCAGGCATATAAAATCTTATCACCATTTCTGACTTCTCTTAGTTGTCTGCATCATAAATAAATCCTGCATCATAAATAAACTGTCAAATATGATTTAAAAAATCTTTTTGCTTTCACTGATTAAAAGAATACACATTCATCTTTTAGAAAGCTACCTTTTTGAACCCTGAGAAGTTCTTGTTAGTTTACAGCTCTCTAAGCAAATTTAAAAGTCTAACCAACATGACTATACATTCTAAAGTTATTTTTAATAATTTCCTATTGGATAACAGAGATTTATAATTCTTGCAGGTGTTCAGCCATCCTCTTTATTGCTTGCATCATTTTCCTTTTATCACTATAATTCTAAAAGAATCAGTTGCTTCTTTTGTTGAGGCTTATTCTGATTAGAGTCTCACTCATTTACACATCTAGAATACTGAAAAATGTTTTATGTTGTTTCTTATATAAGCCATTTGCATCACAAACTTCCCATTCTGCTCTCAAGATGATCTCATCTATGAACTTCCTTCAGTACCATTACACGGTCTCTGCAAGTTCAGGCAACAGGTTAAAAAAAAATGAATACTTTTAGATGTGCCTTTTCTATACTTTAGGATGTTTAATTTGGACTATAAATCTACTGGGGACAAATTCTATCATTTGCTGTTAATAAACTGTCAAGATTTTAGTTTTGCATTATTAATGAAAACAGTAGTTGCGGATATGACTGTCATTTTTAGAAACATCTATAAACATGTTTATAAACTTAGGTGTTACTATTTTGAGATAATTTTAAACTATGTGTCACCCAATGATAAAGAACCCTAGATTCTAATGTTAGGTGCTAATATACGCTTAGATCAAATAGACAAAAGTTATCATTTAAATTACAAACCTAAGGGTTTATGTGAATGTGTATATAGAAATATGTGGTAATACAATGGTAATAACAAACCCCAGAAAACTATGTAATAGATGTATTTTATCTACCTTTGTATATTCTATTAAAGAAGTTGATCACGATTCACATACCTTTTATTGCTTTTCTTCATGTCATGTTCAAATTATTTATTACCAGAGGTACTTTTATTTTTAGACAATTTAGGTTACTCCCCAAAGAGATTAACCCTTGTACCCAATTGAAAAAAGTATTCTAGGAAGTAATAATTGACATCTTGAAGGTGACAGTATGGATGGTTTCTAAGTAGTAAGATTATTTCTAAGGGTCTTATATTTGTTTCATACCTAGATTTCTTTTTGGTCTTTTAAAAATCTTTGTGCTTAAAAAAATCCTTCTACTTGAAACTGAGTGAGGAAAGAAGGTAGCATTTGCTTACCTGCAGCTAGAAGTCTTGATGCCAATAAAAATTAGAAAAGATTCCAGAATGTCTTATTATTCAGATCCTTGCCTTTAAGTGGCTAATAATTTATTATCCTCATTTTATAAATAAAACAAATAGACTGACTGATAGGCAAGAGGAATTAGGTCATAATATGGGCACTGGAGGATTTTTCTTCTCATCCAGATTTTTCAAAAACAGGTCAGTTCCATTAAGGTAGTAATTGGGAACCACTCTCAACACTTCAGGAAACTTCACAGAACTGAATGATAAGCACTGGTTATTTCATGTTGATTACAAGTTCTGCTTGGTACCTGAATACGTATTTGATTATCAAAAATGGAGAAACTGTGTACCTAATGAGCTTCTCTTGTAAAAAATATTTTTTTCAAAATGGAATCAATAATTAGAAAATGACAAAGAAATTACTTTAGCTGACAAAAAGAGGTAATTTTCTTATATAAAATTCATTTTTAGATTAAAAAAAAAAAGTCAGTGTTACCAGGGGTGAACATCTAATTTCGCTCGTTTCCCCTTTCTCCTAAGTTAATAAACTTTTCCTTGAGTAAGAGAAGGGGTTGTAGTGTTTCAAACCCAGAACACCAGGGTAGGGGTGTCTCACGCAGCCTACTTGTATACCACTTGTTCATGCACTGTACCAAAGAGACCACGAATCAAAGTAAGAGGTCATGGTCTGATCTGTGGTATGATGAGCCATGACCTGTGTTCCTCTGACAGCAATTACAACATCAGGACATATTAAATATACCCATATAGTTTTGCCACATTTTTCTATTTAAGAACGGAACCCAACTGTACATAATCTGAATTTTGTGTGTGTGTTTGTTTGGACTGTCTGGGTTTTTTTGGAGGGAGGGGAAAACTCCTGCTTTTCTTTCTTTGGTTATTTCTATTTTCACACACATAAAAAACCCAGTCTTTTTATATGCATAGCTATTTCATATATATATTTGTGTACTCATATATGGAAATAACAGAATGGCAAAAAGACAGAGCTAGAGTTGAGGCTGTAATGTTTTACTGTATGAGCATGAAGAATGGAAAATACATTGTGGCTTTTCTTGGCAGGGGAAGGCACAGATCTTGAAGATCTATGAAACACTACAATGGAATTCTGGCTCAGGAAGTAGAATGTTTTTAAAGGTCTCCACCTCTTGTAGAGATTCCACCATGTGGCTTTCACTGTTTACAGAGGATTTCTGAAGTAAAAATCAGAAACAAGCACATCTTTTTTACAGGCAAACAGCCATTTTAATACTTAAAATATTAAGTATTGTTACAGGTCAAATAAATCTTTACCTCTAGCCAAAATATAGTTATTTGATGACTGTAACTATAAAAACATTATTAATGGTACGTAATTCAATTTCATTTTGCTGTAGGTAAGTGAACTTTTGATACATAACAATTAAAGAGACAATGCCATCATTTATATCTTTTGCATGAATATATGGAACAACTTGGCATCAATGTTAGAATTAGTATGAGACAGAGCTAGTTAGAATTAGTGAAAGAGAGCTAGTTACTCCAATACTTGCTTGAATTCAGTCACAGCTATTATGGAAACTGAGGGAGAAAATGACATATTAGCAAAACAAACTTTCTCATATCACTAATAAAAATGATAACTGGAGGCAAAAAAGGAGGGCAAATTAAATGGTGCTATTTTCCTTCAACAAAGCATGTGACTTGCTTATTTCTGCTGGAATGAGAGCAAGAGATATCCTCTGGTTGGTATTTCTTCTAGAAGGAGACAAATAGTGATCTCCTAAAATGTTTGAAAGTGGCCTACTTGAAGGGGCGCCTGGGTGGCTCAGTTGGTTAAGCGACTGCCTTCAGCTCAGGTCATGATCCTGGAGTCCTGGGATTGAGTCCCGCATTGGGCTCCCTGCTCAGCAGGGAGTCTGCTTCTCCCTCTGACCCTTCCCCCTCTCATGCTCTCTCTATCTCATTCTCTCTCTCAAATAAATAAATAAAATCTTAAAAAAAAAAAAAGTGGCCTACTTGTCAACTTTGCTAAACTGCTCTTCAAATACATTTAAATTATTTTTGAAGGGAAAACAAGTGACTTCTTTTTTTTGCAACCTCAAGTACTGTGAAATAATAACAACATTATACACAACAAATTAATTACAGTTTAAGAGCTGATATAAAGGGGGAAATACAGCAGCTAAGAAACTAAATAATGGGGAGAGGGGAAGATAGGGAAAGCTTCAAATAAGAGATGCTGAAGTGAACATCTGAAGGATTAGCATGAATTAGCTCAGAGAAGTGGGGTTAAAAGCATTCTAGGAACAGCATGTGTAGTACTGAGACAGGGAGAGTTGGAACACAGAGTAGGGCCTGTCAGTCACTTCTATTGTGATGAGGAGGGAGAGGGCGAGTGGTTGTTTTGGTGGCAGGAAGCTGAGGTAATTGCTATCTAAAGACTTCTATTTTCCCTTTGAGTAGGTGATCAGATACTTTGCTAGAACATGTAGGAGCAAGTGTAAGAAACTTAGCATGATGCATCAGAGATTGCTAGTATAAAGAAAAACAACTGATTTTCATATAGAGATGCGCAATAACCTGACCCTGATAATTCACTTAATTTTAGTTTTATTATTTGTAGATGCTTTGGGATTTTCTACATAGATAACAGGTCTCTGACCAAATACAGCTTTAGCTCTTCCTTTTAAATCTATAGGTCTTATTTTTTTCCTTGCCTTTTGGCACTGGCTAGGACTTCCAGTACAGTGTTGAATATAAATGGTAAGAATGGAGAGCCTTGCCTAGTTCTTGATCTTGGGGGCAAAGCAAACTTTCACCATTAAAAATGATATTAGCAACTGGCTTTATGTCCATAAGGCCTTTTAGGACTTAGCCTCAAAAGTGCCATACTGTCATTTCCACTCACATTTTGTGAATTGAAGCAGTTACAAAGTTTCAAGGGGAGGGGACATAGGCTCTACCTCTTGCTGGCAAAATTATGGAAGAGCACAGAGGGCCAGAAATAGTATTGCAGCCATTTTTGGAAATACAATCTGCTACAGCACCTTAACTGATTTATCACCTCATGTGCAACATGATCTTGTGTTCTTCACCAAAGGGAATTCTATCCATTCTTCTCATACCTTCTGTTAAGTCCTGATTACTCCAGCCCTTACTGACCTTTCCACTGAAACTTTACCACACTGAAGACCATCTATTACCCACTCTTGTATCAGATTGTAAATTCTACTAATACAACAATATCTGTTTTATTCACCACTATATCCCAATGCCCAACACAGTGCCTGTGGGTTTTAAACCCATTTTTCTCACACAGGAAAATACATACTCCCCAGTTGGGGATGGGTTGGTGATGAGCCAGGGGACACGGAAGTCTTAAGTTATTTGCCATGATACAGTTTGACAACTAAGGGAGTCCTTACTGGGCTCC